GGATGTTGAGATACATGACTCTATTGTCTGCCCCCCCACCTTCAGGAGCAGCAGGGTACCTAGGAGGCTGGTTGTGGGGTGTAATCTCCCGGTGCCACCGTCCTCATCAGCCGGCGTTTAATACCGCAGATTAGAGGCCCGTCATGGCGCTTTCAATGGCTTCCCAGAACCAGAGCCGGAGCAGACAGATCGATCCACTCCCCCCCCCCCCCATCCAGCCAATCCACAGCTCCCAGCATCCGGCCGTGATGCTCCCGTCGCCTTTCCCAGTGTGAGGGAGGATCGACTTTGGTGAATGAATAGGCCCGAAGGGGCGGGGGTCATGAGGTGGTGGGGGGGCGTTTATCGTGTTAATGCCGGGGGGGGGTCACGGCGCCAGTGGACGCGGTGCCAGGGCTAACGGACTAATCTCCGCAAAGCCTCTGGTTTGAATCTCAGGAGAGGCGTCACCGTCACCCCCCCGTTCCACCACCACCTGACCTGTAAGGACCCGCGGACGGATAAAGTTCGGCTCTCGCCCTCATTCGCCCTGTTTCTGTATAAGAACTACAGCTTTAATCAGATGCACTTTAAAAATAAATGTGCCTGCAGCTGCCTTATCGGACCGAGAAGTCCGTCCCCCGTAGACGTTACGGGAGTCCCGATAATCTCGCTCGCGTTTTGGCCAAGAATTTGGCTGATAACCGCTGTGCCTTGGGTTTCCTGGAGAAATGGGGGCCTTGAGGACTGCCGGTGTGGGGTTCCCTGCTAAATCCCGTCAGATGCGCTTGGCAGGCAAAGGGCGCTGTTGTTTTCCCGGCCCATACCATCGTACTCATCTTTCCACTGAACCAGAATTCAGAAAAAACAACTTTCCAGCCTGAGATATGACTGACTGGGCAGGGAGAGGGAGACAGCATGATTTCACAGGGGAGAAACTATCTAATCCCTGTTCTGTGTCAAGACCTGCAAACCTTAACTTTTTAATTCTCAAGCCATAATAATCTTATATATGCTCTGCCCCACGTGGATCAATAAAGTATGAATAATAATCTTAGATACTTAGGACTCTGAGGCAAAAGAAAAGAGAGTTTGAAAGAGAATGCATCTATCTGATGGTGTTAATGTGGATGCTGGATATGCTCAGCTGCCTCGTTAACTTTAAGAGGTAACAGCAGAAGGTTATCCAGGCCAAGTGGGGAGGTGGAAAGGCAGCATGTGAAAGACCCAGATCAGGGACTGTTGGCCTGATTCTCGAAACCCCTGCAAACACTTTGCCTGTAGACAGTTAACATGTCTGTAACTCTGCCTGGTCTGTGTCTCTGTCTGTATCTCTGTCTGTCTGTCTCTATCTGTGTCTGTCTGTGACTGTGTCTGTCTGCCTGGTCTGTGTCTCTGTNTGTGTCTCTGTCTGTATCTCTGTCTGTCTGTCTCTATCTGTGTCTGTCTGTGACTGTGTCTGTCTGCCTGGTCTGTGTCTCTGTCTGTATCTCTGCCTGTCTGTCTCTGTCTGTATCTCTGCCTGTCTGTCTCTGTCTGTATCTCTGCTTGTCTGTCTCTGTCTATCTTTTACTATTTGTGTCTGTCTGCCTGGTCTCTCTCTGCCTCTGTCTGTGTGTCTGTCTGTGTACCTGAGCCACACTGTGATCACAAAGAGGAAGACTCCATTTGCATCAGCAATTACTTCAGACTCATCAAACAAGCACTGTCCAGTAATTCCCCTGTCCTGAAACCCTGGATGCCCCAACCGCGGTGGCGCATGGCAGCCCTTTCAGGAGGAGGGATTTGCAGAACGGAAGGCTTAGCCCGCCCTCCCAGCGCCCTGACCACACGCCGCATCCATCATGCTGTCAGGAGGCCTGATCTGTGCGCTCCGCTTTGGCCAAATGACCCGTTACCCATTAAAATGTGTCCTTATGTGACTTTCCTGTAAAGGGACGCATCACCTTGTGTTCCTGATCTCCGGGGAGAAGTCCGGAGTCCCCTCAACTTTATATTTATCTGGTCCTTGTTCCAGAGTAGTTTTTTTGGTGTTATGGACGACCATGTCTGGTGCGTGACCCGGCGCATATATAAGCATGTCCTTTGGTGGAAGGGCATTCGGTCGCCTGGGCAGAAGTGTGGCTTCAGAATGTTTCATATCTGTACTCAAATGAGAAGAGGACAGCTGATCCATTCTCTGCAGCCTTGCATCCCTGAGGCTGTGGCTTCGATTCATGCCCTGCTTCTGCAAATTTACGTGTTCTTCCCATGACCATTCAGTCCGGGGAACATCTCTGAACTGACTGTAGTGTGGGTGTATGTGAGCCTGAGCCCTGTGATGGACTGGCGTGCCGTCTGGCGGGTCCCCTTCCTGTGCCCTGTGATGGACTGGTGGGTCCCCTTCCTGTGCACTGTGATGGACTGGCGGGTCCCCTTCCTGTGCCCTGTGATGGACTGGCGGGTCCCCTTCCTGTGCACTGTGATGGACTGGCGGGTCCCCTTCCTGAGCCCTGTGATGGACTGGCGGGTCCCCTTCCTGAGCCCTGTGATGGACTGGCGGGTCCCCTTCCTGTGCCCTGTGATGGACTGGAACACCCTACGTTTACTGTCCTTTAAACGGCAAACAGGATCCTGTCTTTTGCTTCCATGGCAAACCGCTAAACCACAGCATGTTGCTGTAGTCCCTCCCTCCAGTGCTTACGGCAGAGTGGTTTTTAATTACCCCCTTTTCAGAACCTGACCCAGGGTAAGCGTGCTGGAAATGATCCTGGTGGGAGCACGGCGTGCATATCGCCCCCCCAAACCGGCCGCTTTTCCGCTTTAATTATAACATCGTCGTAGCTGCAAGGACAGCCGGCCGGGAGGCTTAATGATTTCTTAAAAATGGGGCTTAATGAAGAGTCGTGTAATTAATATTTTTGCCCCTGCCCCACCCCCACCCCCACTTCTGATTATAGCTACATCAGGAAACGGCGTGTGATATTTATTTTGGTTTTTGGTTCGGCATCATGAATGGTGAAGTTCCGGGGGGGGGGGGGCTTCAGAAATCCAATTAAGTGAAGTGATGTGGGAGAGGGGGGTGTGTCCTAATGGCATTTTTAATGCTGGCGATTTCTCTTAAGTGCGAACATCAGCCTAATAAATATTAATAATAATACTTGTATCCCTGTGATAATACTGTAGGTGGCATGAAATACGATGTGAATGGACAGTGATTATGGAGCCATCCATCCGTCTTCCTGAGCACTCCCACTCGCAGCGGGATTACGGCGCTCATGTGGAGTTTGATTGTTTGCTCATTTATTTGGGGCGGCAGGCCTTCCTGCGGAGCTCCTCCGTGAGCGAGTGGAACTTCAGAAACCCGTAGCACAGCGTGGCCTCCAGACAACCAAAGCAGTGAAGCTGTTCTCCTGACAACCCAGTGTGCCTCTGTTCTCTCCCCCCCCAGCTGGGAGGTGCAGCGTTTCCTGCTCTCCAATCTGCGCTGGTGGATGGAGGAGTACCGCTTCGACGGCTTCCGCTTCGACGGAGTGACCTCCATGCTCTACCATCACCACGGCATCGGTAGGTTGCCCCCTTCCGGTGATCCTTCCGTTCCGCAGCCCCAGGTAATCCCACCTGTGGCCCGTGTCATCATGGCTCGTTATTCCGGTAACCTCCTCGGGGAGTGACTTTCAGACTGGTCATCCACAGCTTACCTGTGTTTTCAGAGGAGGTCTTAATCAGCTTCTCCTTGAGAAGAATAAATTTGTTCGTCCCCATAGTTGGGTGTCAATCAGGGGTAGTAATTATGTTACAAATCGCCGATGCAGGGAGACAAATTTGCATAAATAACCCAGTAACGATCATTAAAGGCAGGAGACCTTGGTATACTAATTAACTCCTCACGGTTGATTGTTTTGCGTTTCCAACAGGTGAAACAATGGCTGATTTCACAAGCTAAACAACTGCCATAGTCTCTCTCTCTCTCTCTCTCTCTCTCTCTCTCTCGCTCTCAGGCACAGGCTTCTCTGGTGACTACAGTGAATATTTTGGCCTTCAAGTGGACGAGGACTCACTGGTTTACCTGATGGTGGCCAATCACATCCTACACAGCCTCTACCCAGAATGCATCACCATCGCCGAGGTGAGAGTGGTAACCTTGGAAACACTCCCCATGACTGATCAGCTAACTGTGAAGTCAAATCTTTGTATTATGATGTCATAGCCCCAAATGTCCCGGTTTTCATTCAGAAGAAGTGCATGATGGGGATTTCATGGATAAACAGGGCTTAGACAAACAAAACGGATTTAATACTCAAAATTAGGAGACAAAGTGGAGGCAACGCTTCCAGTAAGCATGGTGTTGAGAAGGGTGTGGGAGCTACGAGCAGGGGCCACACTGTCCTCCCCAGGAGAAATGGGGCCGTCCTGATACATCGTTTCGTCTAACGAATCAAAAGGTTTGCTTGTATTGGAATATCTGACACCATAAGATTTTTGTTCATCTTTGCACTCTGAGCTATATTGTCAGTATTTGTGTCTGTGTGAATGTGATAAAATGGCAGAAATCTGGCTTTTATGATCCTGTAACTAAAGGGCTTCAGCTTAGTTCAGCTTTCACATGGAGAACAGCAGAGTCCTTCCTGAGGTTCTGACTGTAGGTAGAGGCCAGCAGCATCTCTAAATCACCATGCCCCCTGCAGGATGTGTCTGGAATGCCAGGGCTCTGCCGAGGGATCCAGGAGGGGGGGTGTGGCTTCGACTACCGCCTCGCCATGGCCGTCCCTGACAAATGGATCCAGGTAAGCCCCCCCCGTCCACTAGATGGGAGAGAGGGACAGCTGTGCTTGTCTTGGGGACACGGCTCGGCCCCCCTGCCCTCAGGGTAATCTGCCACGTTTGGTGTCACATGGCAGGCAGCAGTGACCTGGTTGACGCGTACGTTGGCTCGTAATTTCAGAGAATACTCTGCGTCTCGGGAAGGATCCTCTGCATAACAAAACGGGGCCTACGATTGCATGGCGATGCTGAGGAAAGCGGCTTTGATCCGAGTCCTCTCTCGCCCACCATTAAAATTTAAGACGGCATGAATTAATGGGTCCCGTCGGCACATGCTGTGTGCTGAAGTGAGCATCACTCAGTCAGGCCTCTGTCCTCTGGCTGCGTGTGGGGAAAGTGACGCTGCAGAGACTCACCTCCGCAGAGCTCTGAGTCACGCTCACCTCTTCCCGGTGCTCTCTGTCACCTGTCTGGCTCTCCCGTGCTGATGGCTGGCATCAGAACAGCTCCGACAAATGTACAGATGAGTCAGTAACACCCTGGCAGATAATGCATCTACTATTAATGATCTGAAAAATACTTATAAGGTCTTGTGTCTCATACCTGCATGTCACAGTGCTTAATTGGGGAATGGATCTAAACGGCCAATAGGAGTGTTTTATTTCATCACATGATATGTAGGCACTTTGCTTCATTTGGCTTGCTAGTCTATCGCAATTAAATCAGTTTAGTACTTTAGAAATACGTTGTTTATTGTTAAGGCATCATTGTTCCCACTCATTGTCTCTCTATCAATAGAGACTGCCAGAAAGTAACTGCTGTAGAGTATATTTCTGTAGTGTTCTTTAGAATAAGAAACATTCTGATAAAGGCTGTGTAGAACTTCACAATATGTCTGGTGGCCAAGTTGTATTGTTAGGGTACAAATGAAAAAGCAAACGAACGACAGGACTGTGCTTAGTGATCAGACGCAGCGAGGTGCCTCTTTGGCGATGGGTGTAAATCTGTATGAAGATGCAACCCTTCCCTACAAGCCAAAACCACAAGACTCCGACACGGGAGAGAAAATGAAGCTGGAGGCTTATAATGGGCAAACTTACTGTAATGTAATACAAGGCTGTGGTGAGCTAATGAGAGGGAGAATGTTTTTAATCATTGGCATCTGTGATCGCTTGCATTTTATGGGTTTCCTTAATATTTTTGTAGGAATATAGAAGTATAAAAGGAAAAAAAAAAATTCATCAAAAGTGATTACTTTTCAATCTGTTGCAGCGCTTAAGGATAACCCGTTTAAGCCCCCCCCCCCCCCCAAAAAAAAAAGTGTCAAATAAAACAAATGAAAAATGTCTGTACCATTTTCATGATGTTTTAAACACCTGGGTTCACACTTATACCTTCATATCTGGGCATGAAACGTTCAGTTTGCAGATCCATGCCACCCCAGATGCGCTGCTCTGTATGTCCGTGGGTAGGTCACTCCCTTCCGGGTGGCTGAGCCGGGCTTCTCCTGAGAGCGTTCTGTGAACACACTGCAGAGCTCTCTGCTGTGAGGGAGCCCTGGTGCTAAACCGTGCACGTAGTGCCAAAGTTAACAGGGGGCCTCCAGTGGATATGCCATACTGCAGGCCTGCCCTTAGTGGTGTGTGCATGCCTCTACCTCCAGCGGGCATCTTCCTCCAGCAGGCCTCCGTCTCCAGCAGGCCTCTGCCTCCAGCAGGCCTCTGTCTCCAGCAGGCCTCCGCCTCCAGCAGGCCTCCGTCTCCAGCAGGCCTCCGTCTCCAGCAGGCCTCTGCCTCCAGCAGGCCTCTGTCTCCAGCAGGCCTCCGCCTCCAGCAGGCCTCCGCCTCCAGCAGGCCTCCGCCTCCAGCAGGCCTCCGTCTCCAGCAGGCCTCCGTCTCCAGCAGGCCTCCGTCTCCAGCAGGCCTCTGCCTCCAGCAGGCCTCCGTCTCCAGGAGGCCTGCGATGCACTTTAAAAGTGCACCTTCACAAGCCTGTTCTTTCTCCTCACTTTGCTCTATATGTCATGCCTGTGCGGGAAAATAGAAAATGCCGGCGTCTCATACACCGTTTTCAGGGATACTTCATGTCGCTGGCCGCATCTCCAGAGAAACAAAGGCACAAATTGAATAAAATTTCCGTAAAAAGTAAGAGGATAATTAGAGAAAGCAGATAGGCTTTCAAAGATACCTACAGAAAAACATGGTTTTAAGCTTTGTAAGTCGCTTTGGAAAGATCCTTATGCTAAAATAAATGATAAAACGTCTTCAGTTATTATTACTTTATTTAAATAAAAAGGTTACTCTTAAGCAAAAATCAGTCCTTGGCCTGTTGTGAAATAACGGCGCAGGATGAATGGAAATATGCAACACAATAATGATAATTGAAGGACCGGGAGTTATTTAATTAATGACTTGAGCACATTTGCCAGTCCTCTTAAGGTAGCTGCTTTTCTCGTTAAATGGGCCATTTTCTTGGGCCGGTAATTATGGCGCTCGTTAAATGATTTCCCTGAAAGGGCTGAGTGATGGCGGGGGGTTGGTTTTCGGCTGAAGGTCGTCACTGTCTGCCTTTCGCTGTCCCCTCCCCCTCACCACTGTCGCTGCTCCCCTCCCCGCTGTTTGTGTCCCTTGTCTGTTTCTCTCTGAGAGGCAGTTTGCTGACTTCTGCCTGCCCTCCGCGAGGCGGAGGGATCCCTTACGGGACGCTCTTTGTGCCCAGAACGGTCCACATTGTCTCAGAGGAGTCGTGGTATTGTGCAGGAATTATTCTGGACGTCATTATTAACCGATCCAGCTTATAAATACATAATCCGTAAAAAAAATTGAGTAACGTAGCATTTATCCATCCATCCATCCATCCATAGCGGTGGTGAGCAAGGAGCCCAGAAAGCAAGTGGCACAAGACAGAGGACATCCTGGGCAAGATGCCAGGGAATACAGTCACATGTTAGAGATGGAAGTTCATCTAAGAGCATGTTCTTGGGCTGTAGGAGAAAACCAGAGAGCCCTTATACTAGAGTGGCCAATCTTATCCAGAAAGGGCTGTTGGATATGTGGGTCTATGTCTCAACTGCCTAATTAGGTTACTGATTAGAGGACTGATTGGCTGAAGACTCCTCACACCTGGGTGTGAACCACTGACCTGAAGGTTATCCCAAAATCCTGCACACACACTGGCTGACCGTCTCTGGCTTATACGGCCTGACCTGCATCAGTCGCTGAATGCAGGGTCCTGTGCAAATGCACATCTGCAGCCTCTTATCCTGAACAGGGCCGAGGGGAGCCTGGGGCCCATCACAGGGCGGCGCAGGGCACAAAGCTGGGCGACGCCCCGAGTTCGATGCCATGATGCCCCACGGCACATACATACACAAACGAAGGGCAATTTATGCTGATTCTGAGTCCTTGGAGGATGCAAACTCCACACACACAGTGTGCAGGTGGGTTTCGAACCCCCAACCCTGAGTGAGAGGCAGAAGGTCTGATGTCAGCACCCAGCCAATGGCGCTTTATCCGAACCCAGTCTTTGCCGCTTCCTCTCATTGCCTTCGATCCTCTCTCTCCACAGCCCTTGCTGCTTAACCTCAAACTTCAGTCCTAGAGGGCAACAAGAGAAAAGATTTCACCTCATTTAAGCAATTAGAATTCACTTCTCGTTAATATGAATCAATACTACTCCCCCCGGCTAGCCAGGACTATACTTGAGCTGTATATTTAATTATTTATCAGGCATTTTGAAACGTCCCCACCGCTGTCATTTAGAATGTCAAAACATCGCCGTGGTGATTAGTCTCCTGGAATGTCTGCCTGAGCTTGTGTGCCCTCTACTGGCCAGTGATGGAACTTTAGTTGGGATTCGTCAAAGCCAGATTGTTGGACTTCCTGCCGGTGGCTTCACAAGTGTCCAGTGGGTCCTTGCACTCTCATAAACCTCATTAATCACTCGTTATTGACATCTGTCCCACCATCAAAGCCTCCATCCATTTTGGGAGATTAGCGACTGATAGTGGTGCCACAGTAGTACCCAGGTGGTGGGTAAGGCACCCCCCCCCCCCCCCGCCATTGGTTCGTTCCTTTCACCTTGCCTCCATGGAGTTTACTTATTTGAATGCCATTGATTCCTTCCAATATTTTTGTCATTCGGTTGCTGGCATGGAGTTGAATTGCACTGTTTTATTTCAAACTGAGAAGCACCGTAATATGACAAAACCAACAACCTTGAGTTACAAACTGCGTCTCCCCTTATGAAACACTCCCCTTCACCGCCTTTGGCCTGGGATGCACTCGGCTGCCGTCGTGACTCTGATTAAATCCGGCCTCCCGGTCAGCTGCCTGCCGAATTTCGGTAGGTAGCAGAGCAAGAACCTCTTGCCCCTCCCTTGCTTTTCCCAGATACATGTGTCGTTTAGAACGGGATTTTTCGCAAATAATTAAAGATGTGTTTGCGCAATGATTTTAGTCCTGAGCATTGCTAGGCTTCAGAAGATGGAGATTGCAAGGTTCAGATCCAAGGTGGGGTGGCGGTGTTGTGCCCTGGGGGGGTACACTTAATCCAAATTGCTTTGGTTAATATCCGGACGTATAAATGACTATTCCTGTAGAATTTTAATGCACACAGGTCTCTTTTGAGAAGAGTGTTTGCTAAGAGAATGAATAATGAGGAGGAAGGACCTGAGGCCAAAGGCAAGGGAGGAGATCTGCAGCCTTTGACAGCATGTCGGATTAAACCATTACGCCTTGATGCGGGGGGGGGCACCTGGGTTTTTTTGAGGTCAGACGTATTAGTCACTACCACTGAGACAGTCGAGGCTTGCCCTCTGCCCCATCTTGCCACCCCTCACCTGCCTGCCTAATTAATACATCCCATTTTATAGGATGCAAAGACTTCTTACAACCCTTAGGAAGAATTAAGAGGCTCCGGTAACGGGACCGTAAGTTTGGCCAATTGTGTCTGATTAATGATTTAAAAGCCTGTCAGTTGTAATTGGCAGAGTCAGCGAGGCACCTGCGCTTTGACGCGGGTCCTCGGATCACAGCCGTAGCGGATAGATGCGCCAGTGGGGGAGATATGAGATCGACGGCGTGGAAATGGGCTGAATGAGGTTTCTCTGTGGCGCTCCTGGCGTAAACGTGCTTTTTGCAGCTCCTGAATCGATCCGGCCTCCCGCTACACTCAAACAGGTATGAATACAGCAAGACGGACGTATAAATATTTTCTGGCTGCCTGCTGAACCTCCTGGGCTCCCCGTAACTGGACGGAGCGGACCTGCCAGGAATACGGCCCGCCACGGAGGAAAGCTGTGGTGGGCCGGGGTGGGGGGGCTCAGTGTGACGTCCTGACAAGTGGCATAGGAGTCGGCGGTGCCATCTGCTTGGTGTCGGCCTCCCGCGCCGCTGCTGGCTGCTGGATACAACAGCTGTTACCTAAGAACCAGCGCCTCCCCACAGGAGGGCCTCTGTTCACTCACACCCACCCGTATCTGGGCCCGTGTGGTTCCTCCCTCAGACTCGCGGGATTCCAGCAAAACCGCTCACTGCCGGGTTTAATGAGGACGAGCGGCTGGCTGGTGGGTGGAGTGTCTTTGGTTTGTCGCTTTGTGAGTTCTGGAATGGTGGCTGGGTGCTTTTGAACACTTTTTAAGGCAGTGTTTCTCAAACTGGTCTAAGGGGACCCCCAGACAGTCCATGTTTTTGTTCCCTTCAGCTCCGGACCAAAAGCGAGGTCTGGAATTCCCAGAGGACTGGGCTGCGAATGTTGTTAGAACCCTTCGCCGCATGTGTATGCGTGAGAGCAATGTCAGCAGGTGACTGCGGCCCAACAGGGCAGGCGGTGCGAAATCAGATGGTATTCGTAAAGCACATCGACCAGCTCCCGATCCATCCGGCCAGGGACCCGACCCCCCCCCCCCCCCCCCCATTTTTTTTGGTATCCAAACAGCTGCCTGTTTCTGGATGGCTGCGGTTTGAATCCACTTTGGGTGTTGGCAGCACTGTCTGTGAATTCGGACCTGTGCCGGCATCATTTGTCATTGAATTTAACATGCCAGACATGCATACACACACATACACACATTAGTTTCTCGATTGCAGTCACAGATGTTTATTAAATTGAGTTTCTCCTTGTAGGGACCGAAAAGGTGGTCAAAGTAACAGGTTTTTATCACATTGTGGTGACATTTGCTCCTCAGAAGGTAATATATACATAACCCACACATACGATTGCACACAGTCTTTCCAGCAGTCTCTTAGCAGATTCTTCACTGAATCTGTGCCATCTGAGCACAGTCACATATCCAATGCCCAAAAGCCTACCAATTTCATATTTTTAAGATTTAAAGATCAATTGATGCCTCTTTGTGTTTGGTGACTACATGGTGATGATGTAATGCTGACCAAATTCAATAAAGGCAGTCAACATATCATCATGGATGAACTCCGCACACACCATCCATTTCAAAGCCAAAAGGCCTCACCAGCAACCAGCTATGGATGACAGTGTAAAAACGTTTGAGGTGCAGAGTATGGGGACACCATGGATGGGATACCAGTGCTATAATTTATATAATGCTTCGGGACATGGAAAAAGCAGGAGACTAGGTGGTCCGACCCATCTTTGGACCTGCCAGTTTGACACAGCCACATTGATTGTCACAATTTGATCTTTGCCACTATCGATCGCGCCCCTTTTTAAAGTCGATTGTGTAATGAAAGGATTCCCCTTCCTGTCAGTCACACATCTTCCCTAATCACCCCGAGCAGATTCCACTTGTCAAGGTGATGAAGCCATGGGTTCCACGCCAACTCAAGTGAGGGGGATGACGGACGGCCACTAAAGTGCAGGTCCCATTGGCCGAGGAGCACTTTCAGCGGAAATTACTTATCCATTTGATGGTAGAGGTAGCTGAAGCCCCTCTCCATCTATATGGACGATATGTCCTACCATCAGCACAGTGGTTTTAGAACTGCTTCTCTAAAACCTAAAGGCTCAATCTTACAGTGGAAAGCTTGCGCAAATTGGCCTCCTGTTTCACTGATGTTTGTCCTCACCATCGGTGCTTGGTATTAACTACAGGAGGCTTGTGGGTTAATGAATTCTGAAGTAAATACATCTGGCGTCATGGGTGAAGGAGAGGTGCAGTCTGGGACAGGTCTATTGTGTTGCCTGCTCACGTCTGGTCTTCTCACCTTCTACTAAAGGTTGAGGTGTTCACTGGAGTATTGCCTTAGTATTTGTGCTTTATTTTTCAGATTTAGTTTACTTTTCCCAAATTTTTTTATTTTATTTTTTTTAAACTTCTTCAGCGTTGATGTCATCTTCTGCCTAGTAATAACCAAAGGATCTTACTGGACTTACCTGCCATCGGAATAGTCCTTTTGTCAGGCTGTCGTCTGCTCACTTGCCCTTCTCCGTGCTGTGACGATGGCAGATTCTGAAGGAGTACAAGGACGAGGACTGGAACATAGGCAACATCGTGTTCACGCTGACCAACCGCCGATACGGTGAGAGCTGCATTGCCTACGCCGAGAGCCACGACCAGGTGAGTCGGCATCAGTCGCAAGTCATCGGTAGGGCCCTTGGTAGTGCCACGTTGGTAGGATCCATTGTGGTACCTTCACCTGGGTTGTAAAGCTGTTTTGCCAGATGTCCTCAAATTTGCTCATACCCAACCTCCGCAGATGTTTTGTTTTCTTTGCAAAGCTGTTGAAATCGATCTGAATGTGTCTGCTTTGTTTATGGTTTTTTGTACTTGGAGACCTTCTTGTACAGCTTTTATCCTGCTTTTATTATTTAGAGGGTCAAAGCGAAATCCCAGGTATAATAGCAGGTTTCAAGTGTTATATATGATGAGAAAAAGAAGGAATATTGTCTATTGTACCAGGAGTGCAAGTCATCTTCATTCATTCTCTTTGTATGGTGTGATGATTACTGTGTGTGTGTGTGTAGCTATTGTTTTGACCTACAATACTTGCTTTGTTCTTTTTTTTAATACTTCTTTCCATCCCCTTTAAACTTGATCCTTTTTTCCATCTGTATCCATTCCTCCCCCATCCCCGTGGGGTCTGTTCATGCTTCATCCATCCCTCTATCCCCTTGCTCTCGTCATCCATCCCCCTCCAGGCTCTTGTCGGAGACAAGACGCTGGCCTTCTGGCTCATGGACAAGGAGATGTACACCAACATGAGCACCATGATGCCGATGACGCCGGTCATCGATCGCGGCATCCAGCTGCACAAGATGATCCGACTGCTCACCCACGGCCTGGGCGGCGAGGGCTACCTCAACTTCATGGGTGAGCGGCTATGCGGGGGGGCGAGAACAGGAGGTGTCCAGGCAGTGGAACAGTTGCACAGCAGGCAGAGTGAAAGCGTTTCCACCAAGCCGTTGTGTCTGCCTGTCGTTTTACATTCTGCCCAGCAAAGACCAAGCAGACCATCCGAGGTCCAGTCTGAATTGAAGCTGAACTGATCGCTGTTTACAACCTAGGTGTCCACAGCAGGGCCGAGTGCGAACTGCAGAGCAAGCCAGCCGTCCGGCGAAAATGGGGGCGAAGTTATTGGTCTCAGGGGTTGTTGTCCAGCAGTAAATAAATAATTAATTTTACTGTTTTTCTGAAAAACACACATTAGTTTGCTGGGTTAGTTTCTCATTAGCCCCCGGCCACAATGTTTTTTATCATTTAAAATTCACATAATTCTCAGTGTGTGTTCTATTTATCGATGGCAACAGGCAGACTTCGCTCTTAACCTCTAAGCACAGACCGTTTATATTAATCTGAAATTCTCTGAAAGCTTTGATTTAAAATATTGGGTGAGCAGTCAAACAGTGATTGCTGAAGCTGTCTAATATAGTTCAGCTGGCGTCAGGATGGAGCGGACTCAGGCGTCAGAACACTGACTAGCAGATGCAGAAACTGCTGCTTCCCCCAAACTGTCTACTCTGCGCCACTGCAGGGTTACTGCGCTCTGCACTTTATGGAAATAGTGTGCTGCATTAAAGCTGTTGCTGCTAATAATGATAATAATAATAATAATATTGATTATTATTATTATTATTATTTATTGACTATGTGGTAGGCAGCACTGGGGCATGTTCTCCCTGTGGTTTTTGGGTTTTCTCCAGGTACTCCAGTTTGATGCAGTTCTGAGAATTGGTGGCTCTAAATTTTATACAGTGCTTGGTTCTGTGTGTGAATGTGTGCCCTGTGATAGACTGGCATCCCATCCAGGGTGCCCTCTGCCTTGTGCCGTGTGATGGACTGGCATCCCATCCAGGGTGTGTACCCTGTGCCTTGTACCCTGCGCTACCTAGAATAGGAATAGGTTTTCATGGGATTTACCGAATGTGTAGAACGTCTTTGTAAGAATGTAATTCAGTAAGGATGCATTTCAGGTTCTCTCTTTAACTAAGGAACCACCCAGTGGTGTCTGAAGCAGTTTGACATTGGGAGGGACTGAATTTGCCCTGGCAGGGAGTGCGATATATATCACCCCGTTGCAATGGGCACACATGCAATAATCACATCATGAAAGGTTGTGATATAAGAAATTAAAAAAAAATATTTCTACAATAATAAAGATTTCATCATTTTAAATAAGACTAACGCTGTTTAGGGTACGCGGGGTGGCACAGTGGTTTGCGCTGTTGCTTCATACCTCTGGGAACAGGTTTGAGTCTCTGCCGTGGTTCCATGTGTGTGGAGTTTGCATGTTCTCCTCGTGTCATTGTGGGATTTCCTCTGAGTACTCAGGATTTCCCTCCCACAGTCCAAAGACATGCTGAGGCTGATTGGAGTTACCAAATTGCCCGTAGGTGTGCCTGTGTGAGTGAATGGTGTGTGAGTGTGCCCAGCGATGGGTTGGCGCCCCATCCTCGGTAATTCCCTGCCTTCTGCCCATAGGCTCCCGACCCCCCTGCAATTTCACTGTAATCTAAACATAGCTAAAACAAGAATCTTGTTCATATGATAAAATGATTTTGCCTGATACGGGACTACAATCTTCGTTACAGTTATGTTTCATCCAAGCACTCTGCGTGTCTTCAGTAACATCCAGATTCATAATAAAAGATGACGAACACGCTCTTATTTATTGGGAGCTGTGGGTGACGGAAGCTGCAGTAGCCAGGGAATCGGTTACAAGCTACAAGGAGAAATAAGTGTGATTATACCAGAGCGACTCTTCTTCAGTCTAATGAGCAGAAGTTATGACGGTTTCTTCTCCTATGGTCTGTCGCTTGTTTCATGTTGCATGCCTGAGTTGTTTTCTCTTTTGTTTGTGCTGTTTTTAAACCTCAAACATCGTCATTGTATCAGTGGGTGTGGCTAACTTAGCTAGTAGCAAGATAACGTTTGTAAGCCTGGAAATGCAGCAGTATTGAGTAGTGGAAGTAATGCAGTGGTAATTTTAACTAAATAAAAGTGTTTCGTATGGATGTATTCTTGTATTTTTGGCCTGAACCATTAATATTTTAGGCAAAAGCATTGCAAGATTTTTTTATTTTTTTAATTCTTTGCTCTAGTGCTTATATCTTGTCTGCTTTGGCCTTTTGGGGCTGGACTGTCCCTAATCCAGCCAAACGGTAATGGAAAAGCACATAAAAGCTAATTATTGCAGCAGCTTGAAGATGATGATAAAGTTTTACTCACTAGTTTCGAAGGCTTAAAGGAACATTAGATCACGCCGGCACTGCCAGCATCTGTAGGTGAAATCGCAAAGCCCCCTTTATCAAGTTAATTGGATCGGCCGTGACCTTGTGGGGTGGGGGTGGGGGGGGGTTAGGGGGGCTTGCTTCGGCATGAGAAGTGCAGCCTTGCTCTGGTAAATTAAAGACAAACATCTTCATTCATTCTGCTGTGTGTACATCGGTGTGACGGATCCCCTCTCAATCCCAAGCTGTCCTGACCTGGAATGGGTCAGGGGTGCTTTTTATGAATAAGGCCAATGTGCTATTTAATCCTTGGTTATTAAGAATGAATCTGGGCACCTACAAGCCACATATACAAGCTTTCCTGGGAATTTATTACAGTTGACCTACAATAAGTGTGTCCTGTGATGCACTAGTGTTACGTCCTGGGTGTCCCCAGCCTTGTGCCTTGGGCCTGCAATAGACTCTGGGCTCACCAAGTCTGTACTGAATAAGCAGTTATGGAAGATGGATGTATGAACTAAAATAAGCTGTTTCAACACTGCATAATTTTGCATACAATAAAGTTTCCCTTGACAAATGACAGCACTTTCACTCCTGGGACTGAAGCAAGAAACATTTTTGTCACCAAGTCTTTCAATGCTGCCAAATTGGAAATATCAGCGGTGTTGTAGTAATTTCAGTTTTTACTATCATGGCCAGTCAGAGAGCCAATAGAAGGAGCGACACATAGCCATGACCTCACAGGATATTGTATTAGATTCATTTACATTTATTAATTTAGGCATTTTTGTCCAAAGTGATGTGTAAGTGATTTTCATGTGATTTTGCAGGGAGAACATTCCTTTGCCTGCCCTCAGAGTCATAAGCTTTGCTTTTTCATACTCTCCAAAGAGAAGGAAATGCTCAAATGAATGATACTGTTTGCTGAGAACACCTGCGTGCCTTTATAGTCAGGTCAGGTCAGGTCAGGTTTTGAAGCATGCACTGATGTAGCGCGTTCGTTACCACACCCACCACACAGAGAAACTCCTCGCGATTCCGGCCAGCGATCCCCCAGGCAGATACACGGTCCAGTCCCAACCTCGGAAATGCCAATCCATCTGCCGCAGCCAGGTGTTACGTGGATGTCCCCTTGGCCTGGTCCAGCCACTTGGGTCCTCAGCAATGAGGATCCTGCAAGCTGGATCACCCTCAGGGAAATAGCTGTAGTGCCGTAACTGACACTCCCTCACAATGTGCCTCATGTGGGACTCAAAGACAAACCAGCAGTACCCAAGGATTCTCTGAAGAGACACAGTACCGAAGGAGTCCAGTCTTCATCTCAGCTCACTGGATAGCATCCATGTCTCACAGCCATACAGCAAGGCAGGGAGCACCAGGACTCTAAAGACTTGGACCTTCGTCCTCTTGCAAAGATATCGGGAACGCCGCACACCCCTTTCCAGAGACCTCATGACCCCCCATGTTCTTCCAATCCGTCTGCTGACTTCATAGGAAGAGTCACCAAAGACATGAATGTCGCTGCCGAGGTAGATACATTAGGTCTGATGGCTGGTTACTGATGGCTTTGCCTAAGAAGTCAGTAAATGCCTGAACCCCACGACCCTGCCCAACATTCAAGCATTGAACAGAGTCGGAGCAAGAACACACCCCTGCCGAACCCCATAATCAACTCCGAGGAATGGAGAGGTTCTCCCTCTACTCTGCACAGCACTCGTAGTACCAGTGTACGGGGCGGCCATGACGTCCAGTAACTTCGGGGGGGATCCCGCAAAGTCTCAGGATGTCCCACAGGGCAACTCAGTCAACTGAGTCGAACACTTGACGGAAATCGCCAAAGGCTGCAAAGAACCTCTGCTGATATTCGCGTTTGCACTCGATGAGACTCCTCAGTGCAAGGATATAGTCAATGGTAGACTTCTTAGGCATAAAACCAGACTGCTCTGGTCGCTGACAGGCAAGCAAGTGATCATGGATCCTGTTAAGAATGACCCTAGCAAGGACCTTACCCGGCACTGAGAGCAGTGTTATCCCGCAATCCAGGCAATCACCCTTCTCTTTCCAAATAGAGACTACAAATCCCATTTTACAGTCAGTTGGGATGACTTCTGACTCCCAAATGGAAGCAGAGATTGCCTGCAATCACGGAAGGTCTCCCACATCACATTAGAGTCAGCAGTCACACCCACATCTGTAAGTTCCTCACACAACCTGCATGCAAACTCATCAGAAACAGCTTGATCTTTGAGTCTGGCTAAGTCCAGCCTCATTCTCCTAGTTAGTGGTAGCCTACTGGATCTAAGCTGAATCTTCAGAATAGCAACAACAAGTCTTTAGTCAGAATTAGTCAGCACCACACCAGCCCCGATCCCCAACAGGCCTTGACCCTATTAGCTCTCTGACGGTTTCGACTTGTCCAGGGATGGGGCTCCCGATGGCTTCCCCCATCCCCTTCGTGGTGCGTGCAGCCTTCCTGCGGGCGACTGCAGCAGAGCAACTCCCTCGGAGAGCTGTTGACTTGTTTTAATCGAGCAGTTGTGAGTATTTTTACAGTGGCTGGAGTGCCAATACCGCCACCGACCCCCAAACATTTCCAAAAAATTTACAGTTTCCTTGCAAGTTTGAGGACCGCTTTCAGGGCCGGGTGCAGTTTAATGTCATACCCAGGATAGTACAGATTTGGATTTTTCGTCAGATCAGTGGCCTCTGAGTGGACAGGAGGTCAGTAGATCGTCAGCCTGCAGGCTGCTTTCATAATGCCACTCATTCTTTTATGCCTTTCGTAATAGCCTCAGTTAACATTTTTGTTTCTGTGTCATTGCATACAAACTTGCAAACTCTTCCCTCTAGCAAAAAATCTCGCATTAAAGTATTTTAATTATTGCTGATAATGGTACATTGGGCATGTTCTTTAGTGTCCATGTCAATATACCCCCATGATTCCCTGTAATATGCAGGCCCAGCATGTGACCTTCATCTACCCAATGGTGTTGCTGGCTCTTATTTGTGAAGGTCGCGCTTACGTTTTTAATAGCTGTCTAATGTGTTTTATTACCATCCACCACACCTCCTCAGCCGGTCACCCCCTTTTCCCTCTGCTGCTGAATAAATAGCCCATGCTATTATGTAGCCTCCCCCCCCCCAAAAAAAATTCTCCAACTCCATCTCCCAACCTTTTGTTGTCACTCTGTGTGTCTCCCCCATAGAATTCAATCTTCTCGACTGTTATTTTATGATGTTGTCTCATCAGTCGACGACGGATTCATTATCTCATCACTCCACCCGACGGCAGCGGCAGGCCAGCCTGTCATCGGCTTAGGCGCCGACATCCGGCTCGCAAATGTATTCCTGTATCTCCTGTCCCGGCGTCCACGTCCGTCGCCTCTTTTACGTGGCCGTCCCTGAGCTTATGAATGTCATTACCCTGCCATGCTCGTGGACCAGGCGATTTGAGAGGAAATCATCAAACTTCCTCTCGTGTTTTTCTTTTTTTTGTCATTTTTTTTCCCCTCAGGCCGGAGATTTCGATGATGGATCTACTGCAGGGGATTGAGACAATGGCTGACATTCTGAAGCCGCAGCGCAATTAAGCTCCACAAAAAAAGAGCGACTGATTTGGCGCCTCCGTCGTCGGCCGTCCCTCTTCTTAGCAGCGACAGTTGAAAGTGGTGTCTTTGAAAAGCAGCTAAAGGGCTATGGGTAGTGTAACACTTACTGTTGTGGTAATTCACAAGTCTTGTCATGAGCATTATGGGCCGGCACAGTAAAATTGCTCAACTTGAGCCTCTTTTATCATGACAAAGTGTTTGGTGTTTGTTGACTCGTAATGGTCGCCTACGCGGCTCTTTTCTTTGCCTTGATTATGATTATTGCCGTGTTATCCACGGCATTTTCGTGTCCGCGGGCGCTCGCTCTCCGTCTTAAAGCTCAAATGCAGAACGGCCTGCCGAGACTTCTTAAATATTTAAAGCGGGAAAAGTCGAGTCCAGACGACGGCTGTGTGATAAACGGGGCCTGTCAGTGTTTTCTAGAAAACGTCACGGAGGAAAGTGCGGCTGAGTTTTGTTTGGCGTCTCTGAAGTCAGCCTGAGCCCCCTTGTGGCACAAACGTTTATGAAGAGATATGGTGCCTTTCGGCTCGGAATGCACACGGTGCTACTGCAGGGGACGGCTGTGGAATATATACTATACAACTAAAGGTCCTCTTAATCTCTGCCTGAGCTTGTTCCATTTCATAGGTTTGCCATCCAATTGAAAGCCACTGGAAAGAGTGAAGAAAATATTTCTTTCGTATTTTTTTCAGTTTAGCGCTGTTTGGAGTTTTGGGCAGTTGAGTGGGATTTGGGGCATACTGAATCTAAGATCAGTTAAACCTTGAACTATTGATATTTGATAATATTAAAGTTGAGTCCAAAGTTCTTCTCTTTCTCTCACTCTCGCCTCTGACAAGTCTCGCATTCCTCCAGTAAGCAAACTGAACTTAAAGTTTAACCCAGAAATGAAAAATCCAAATGGCACGACACCCGGCTTTATTGTGGAGGCATTTTTCATTTTTTATTTACAGTCATTAAAGGCCCATTCATTTGTCAAAGCCAGCTTATATCTCGACGCCCGAATGGACTAGTTGAAAAACAGTCTCCTGAGTGTCCATGTCCCTCTGCCACCTCCCCCCTCCAAAAAGGTCTGATGAGCTGCCATGACTTTTCTGTGCCTCTAATCTCAGGGCTGTCGTACCTACATCTTATTCCTAACCAGCACCATCTCCGCTTGGTCCATAGCCTGAGTAGTCCAGATCGGCGCCTGCCGGTCTCAGATTGTTCTCTTTTTTTTTTTTTGGGCTTCCTGATAACTGGTCAAGCGTGCGGGCTGGAGGCCTTTGTCTCATGTGCTGGAGGACTTACTTTGATATGGTCCCGGTGACCAGCCATCTCCATCTCAAAGATATATGCTTCAAGAGAATGTCCAGAAGAAGCCCAATTGCTGCTCTCATGCCCAGGTGTTTGCGAGTGAAAAATGATGTCCCAGCTTGGTAGATCAAAGGTACCTCACTAGCTGTTTATAGATTGTATGAGCACGGCCTGTACCTCCATCGCAGGGAGGGAGGCCATGTTTGGGTTTGTGAGTCCCCGCTGAAAGACAAACAGAAGCCAGTTCCTTTCTCCTTAATAAGGATGAGGAGGTTGTGGTGTCACAGGGATAGCCTTTAATGATAATGACCAGAGGGAGGCGGGTCCACGGCCAGAGGGAGGCGGGTCCACGGCCAGAGGGAGGCGGGGCCACGGCCAGCAAACGCTTTGCCAAGTCACTCAGTTTACAGGGCCTCACCTGTCGGTGCTTTAAGTGACGTCTTACTGATGCCAGAAGTGAACTTGCTGCATTCTTACTGATGATGGATCCTTTGTGTATATTTTTGTTGAGTATTCTTTACCTAAATTAGCCACCATTTTTGATCATATGCCCTCAATAAACAGTGTAGTATAGCATGCTACAGTGAAACACTGTGCCACTAAGTGTGAAAGACCAATCAAAAGCACCTAATGATATTTTATTCATTTGACTTTATATTTTTGGATCACGCTTAAATGTGGGTGATTATTGACACTGATGCCTGTAATTTGACTGTTTGTGCGTGTTTGTGGAATAAAAGTCCTGCTTCCTGGTTGATTTCAGGTAATGAGTTTGGCCATCCCGAGTGGCTGGATTTCCCCAGGATTGGGAATAACGAGAGCTACCATTACGCCCGGCGCCAATACAACCTGCTCGACATGGAGCACCTCCGCTACTGCCAGCTGTACGCCTTCGACCGCGAAATGAACCACACCGAGGCCAAGTACGGCTGGCTGCCATCCGAACCGGTGAGGGCACACAAAGACACATCCAGTCACTCATTATGGGAAATTTAGTGTCATCAGGTACTACCTCTCAGGAATGTGGGAGGAAGCCAACACGCCAGGCGCAAGGAACACGCCAACACGCCAGGCGCAAGGAGCACGCCAGGCGCAAGGAACACGCCAACCTCCAGGGGCATGGACTGGTGCAGCTATCAAATGCATCTGTGTATTCTTGTGTGCTGTATATGCTTAGGAATAATATAACAAATTCATAATATTTCGGATTCCAGTGTAAAAGTACTGGTGTAGGTACTTGGTCCATACATCTCCAGTCTAGTTCGATTTATTTATTTTTTTTCTTTCTTTTTTTTTTTTAAACACGTGTTGGTTTCAATATTAATTGACTGTCGAGTATCTTGATCCTGTTTTCTGTGGAGCGATTTGTCCCCCCCCCCCCCACCACACGTAGAAGAATTAATCAGATGTTAAACGGTGCCCTCTTGGGGGGAGGGCCTGTCTATGCTGGAGGAGTGTGCTGCTTTCACCGCCGGGCCCTGTTCCTCATTAATATACACGATGGAAGGCTTTCCATATCACCTGGCTTCACTAATTGGGACCTTCTTGTCTGTGAAATCGGACTTGACTTTGACCTGTTTTGAAGGTGGCAGACTAAAGCGGAACTTAACCTCTCACAGTCTGCTGTTCACGTCTTAAGGTGCTAGAGTTCACATCGCTTTTATGGCTGTGTTTTTTTTGCATAACTCATCCATCTGTTCGTCTTCGTAAGTGCTTGTCCTGTACAGGGGCGCGCTGCGTCTATGCCAGGAGAATGCGGATACAGGACACCCTGGATGGGTCGCACTGGGCGTGAACGAAACGCAGTTTAGAGAAGGTCATTTACATACAGTAGCTGCGTGATTTTAGCTTGTGGGTGGAAACCAGCATAAGCACAGTTAGAACCTGCAGACTTCACACATACAGAGCCAGGTGTGGGATTTGAACCCAGAATTCTGTAAGTGTGAAGCCACATGGCTATCCGCTAATTTCATACACACATGATGGTCTGGCATTAGGAAACTTATATCATAAATGGAGTTTACAGAGGAACTGAAGAAGCTCACCGGTCAGGTAATGAAAGGGTGAGCTCAGCACCGCCATCTTGGGACCCAGTATCGGGGGAGGGGCAGACTGGGATGTGGTGGGCTGGGAGCCTCTTATCTTTCTCCCAAGAGCAAATATGCTGGCACTGACAGGAGGAAGCAGACGGTAAATGCTGCTGACTGGGTGACAGCGATAATCTCTGCTAATGACACCTTATTAGCTGCTTCCTGGGGACACTGCGGCCACAGACGCAGCTATGGGCCACCACCTCCTGACAGGCCTTATGCTCCCTGTTAGCCCCCCCACCCAAAAAAAAGTTTCCCATTTGTTGGACAAGGCTGTAGTGCATAATTTACAGAAATTAGGTTTTCTATAGTCTGCTGGTGATGGATGGATGGATGGATGGGCAGGTGGATGGAAGGAAGGAAAACTCTTGCACCAGACTTTATTTAACCTTTCACGATTGCGTATTTTGTTCCCTTCACTCATGTCTGAAATCATCATGATTGCTAAAGCCGACACGCTGTGTCTGATTCTGTGTCTGCCCTCCGACCTTCCTGTAGGGTTTTATCACCGCGAAGCATGAGGGAGACAAGGTCATCGTCTTCGAGAGGGCCAGCCTGGTTTTCGTCTTTAACTTCCACCCTTCCCAAAGTTACAGCAACTACAGGGTAGCGACGGAAACTCCAGGGAAGTATCCTTTACGGTGTCATCACTGCATGCTTGTTCGTTCAGCGGGTTTCAGGACACGTGGTTCTGCAGGGGTTAAACGACCATTTGACTGGACAAAAACTTGCGTGCCTGGAGATTCGAATTGCAGTTTCACCCTTAATACTACCTACATACTGCATGTATATTGGGATACATTTAAACGATCATAATTCAGTTCAGGTATGTGTTTGGTGACATATCCCAGCATGCCTTTCTCCATGGTATGTCAGACTTTTGGCCGATGGAGGCTAAGGTCATTAGTGTAGAATGGCAGAGAGTTTGTTCAGACTTCTCGGCCGCTCTTCAGAGACGCGCTGTGTTCTCCAGTGCTTCGATGATTAGCCCTGTGTCTGGAGGCCCTCTTTTCGATCTGTTTTCTCTCATGTTTCTTTTGTCCAAGCTTATGAAGTTATATCTTCAGTTTCATAGTTCCTGTGAAGAATCTGAGGGCCATGACCGCTGAGGGTTTGAACTGGTCAGAAGCCGCGCCTCCGGTACCTGCCGTCGGCGGTGTCCATGGCAACGTCGGTGCATCTCAACTGAGGGAGAACCGCCGTGTCGGCTGTTTAAGACCTCAGTAAATCCAGTTCTTGTGAAGTTTCTTGTCTGGGTTTGACCTGAGGGTTTGGTTTCTCGAAACGCTGCCAGTCTGCAGCCTGCGTACGCTCAAGCCCGCCTCTAGCCCTGAGACCCCTCTCCATATTCTGGCCGGGGCCCAGAGCTCCTCGCAGCCTGTGTTACAACGTTCGCATGAGCGGAGTAAGAAGCAGGAGGCCATGAATGATTAACGGACAGCCGTGGATTAGCATTCCCAGGGAATTTCGATTCCAAGGGTTGATGGGTGGTAAATGTTCCTCCGTTTTCAACTCTACAGCTATGTATCCAATACAGTGAGGGCTGTCCTTAACACAAACTCGCATTAAATGCATGTTCTCTGAGTTTTTCTCACACTGTTCAGGAGGGTGGTGTACTTTGTTAGGAGATTTTCTACAAGTATGAAAGCTGGGAAGTTTCGCAAGCGTCCAGCAGCATTTAATGGTGCTGACCACCATGTAGCTGTCGTTGCCGCAAGCGTCCATACCTCTCCTGGTATTCCCAGTATTCCAAGGACTGATTCGACACGTCCACCTCCTGGCTCTGACTGGTTTTTAGACGCCCGGGGTGACACGGACATCATGAAACGGGTAGAGCGAAAACACAAACAAATGAAAAAGACAGGACACGTCATGGGTGGCTGTGAATTTGGGGTTGGGGGGCGGAGCACTGCAGAAACACTGCCGTTTGGGGGTGGGGGGCGGAGCACTGCAGAAACACTGCCGTTTGGGGGTGGAGCACTGTAGAATCACTGCCGTTTGGGGGGTGGGGGGACTTCTCTGTCTGCATGCATCGTCAGGCCCCCAGCAGGGTGGGAGCTGTGGAGCACTGCTGAGTTGCCCTCATCTGCCACCCCAAGCCCCGCCCACCGCCACAAACTCGCTGTGATCCGTCATCGTCACATACCCTCACACTTCCCACTGGTAGCTTCCCCAACTGCAACCAAAAATCAGTTCTGTGTTCATTATAGTTCTGTTTTGAAACAGCCCCTATTTTTGGTATCCTCATTAAAACAGGCTGCTAGCTTGATTATGATTCACTGATTGTGTTAAAAATAAAAGTGGAGTTGGGGGGGCTCATCTTATTTTCTTATATTCGTATTTTATTTTCCTGTTCTGGGAACTCCATGCGCATTTATGCTCTGTGGAGCTTATTCTTTATGAGCAGCTACTCAAAGGAAAGGAAGAAGACAATGGAAATGAAAGATCAGCTAATGAACTGGTAATAAGTATTCCTTTGGCGTTAGTCAGACTGAACGGATTTCGACTAGATTCCCCTGGTGCTTTGGACAAATTTGACAGCTTCTGTTCTAGACGGCTTCAAAGCCGTATCAGGAAAGGTGGCTGTTTTAAATGCTTTTTGATGGTTCTGTCCAGCGGTACTGTGAAACCTCAATGAACAGATTTCTCACCCATCCCAGGGTACAGTGAGGTCTCCTGGTTTGGTGACTGGGAAGCACAGAGGTGAGGGTTTGATTCCACGTTCCGCTGTTGGCACAGAAGCATTGGGAGATGTGAGGGAAGCGTGGCGAGGGATTCGCCAAAACAGTGACTGCTGGAGAGAGATGGGGGCTGTTCTCTCTGCTGGGCTGGGACTTCACCATTGTTTGGGTTCAGAATGAAAGGATTTGTATTTAACAGGATAGATGTAGCAGGCATGCATTTGAGCCACAAAGACACAACAGCTGCAAAGTCTTGAGTCTAAGAAAACAAACTTTGAAGATATACTGAGATGTTTCATGAGCTCCTTCTGGGAGGCCATTTGGAAGCAGGACTTACCCCTCCAAGCAGCTCATTCTTTCTTTCTTCGTTTTGTCAGGTTTCTCTTTTTTGTGCTTTCTCCGTCTCCCATTTTTCATCTATTTTTATTTTTTTTAAACCAAGAAAGTAGTTGCTGGGGAAGCAACTTCCCTGCTGTTCTTAACACCAACTGTGAGTTCAGGTGGTATTCAAAACAACACCAAGAGCCCAGAAGGTACCATGCGAAATGGATGTTCTAGATGTTTTTGTGTGGAACATCTCCCGCGTTACTGACTTACTGTGAGTTACATCATGTGGTCTGTGGCCTGAGTCATTATTACAATTGTGCTGTTGGTCTGTAGAATCCTGACCCAAGTTACAGATACCACTGCAGCATGGGGTCTGTAGTATCCTGACCATAGTTACGGGTACCACTGCATTGTATGGTCTGTAGAATCCTGACCTGAGTTACTGTTACCATTGCGTCATGTGGTCTGTACAATCCTGACCTGAGTTACTGTTACCATTGCATCATGTGGTCTGTACAATCCTGATCTGTTACTGTTACCATAGCATCATGTGGTCTGTAGCATCTTGACCTGTGTTACTGTTACCATTGCATCGTGTGGTCTGTACAATCCTGACCTGAGTTACTGTTACCATTGCGTCATGTGGTCTGTACAATCCTGACCTGACTTACTGTTACCATTGCGTCGTGTGGTCTGTACAGTCCTGACCTGAGTTACTGTTACCATTGCGTTGTGTGGTCTGTACAATCCTGACCTGAGTTACTAATACCCAAGTGTCTTGTGGTCCTGATGCTCTGCTGTAGAATGAGGCCAGCACATAAGGGCTCCCCATTGTGGAGTGCATGAGCATGACCCACTGAGTCACATGACACGGCTCCTTCTTTTTGCCAGACTTTGAATCTGAGCAGGGCTCCTTGCCACAAAGAGGGGTAAAATCTAGGTCTTACTGCTCCGGAGAATAAAAAAATTGTTACCCATTGAAATTTAATCGTCTTGAGCTTTTTGACAGGCACTGAAACTTTTTTCTTTTCTTTATAGTCTTTCAATGGATGATCTTCAAGCCAGGATCTTCTTCTAGGAGCTTAGAGCATCTGAATCCTGATTGGGTAATTTCATGAAAGGCATACCTGTCTGAAGTGATGAGTCTTTTGATAAAGGTCTGAGTCTGAATGAGGTCACCATCCTCTCATTTGACAGGGACATTTTGCCTATGCGCTGTTACCAATCATAAAGGCATTACTTTGTTTCTTCAGCATATGTTTGGAATATAATACATATTCCTGTTTTTATTTTATTATGGGCGAACATAGGCTAAACTACCCAGAGCTCCAAGATGATTTGACAAACAAGCACAGAAGTGCCATGGAGGAGGTGATTTACATGCGTGGATTATTCTGCAGAATTTTAATGTTTTTTTTTTTTTTTAAGTGGAATAATGAGGATTTTTTTTGCCGTTTGTTCCCTGGCCATAAAACACTGCCGTTTCTTTTATTGAACTCGCGTGTAATTGCGTTTGACTTGGTTAGAATTCTGATTCCCAACTCGTGTGGGAGCAGACCATGGCCCCTCGTTTAGGTGACCCACGGCACGGGGCGGGGTGACCCCCCAGGACTGCGGGTTGCGCTCAGAGCAGCAGAGCCGTCAGCTTTTAGCCAGAAGGTAGCTGCTGTAAATGTCAGGAGAGGCTCTGTTTCTATGCCCCCAAGCAAGGTATTTTTAGCCAGAATCGCACTGATGGGGGAAAGTATTCGGCTGTAAGTGGTGAGCTGTCGATCCTCCTGCGATCAGCCGAGAATTAAAGGTTACGGCTCGAGCTCTGGCTGCAAGCTCCTTCAGCCGATGGCCACAACTCATCGGGTCAGAGTAGGTCACTCCCCATAGGTCACTGCAGCGCCACCTAGTGTTTTGGTTCACAAGTGTCTGTTAAACCCATAGCGGTCTGTCACCATAGCCCAGTTCCTCCACTGACGTTAGCATAACGACCCCTTTTCAGCACCTCTCCCTACACCTGCTGTTCCAGTCAGTCAGTAACTAATCTTTGTTTTGGGCACAAAGCTCTGAAATATTCCACAGCACAGCTTTGTCTGCTCATGGAAGACAGCTGTTTGGGATGGCGGGGGGGTCCACTCCTGTGCTGCCACATCCGGAAAACTTCAGGGGGGCAAGCTGGTTGGAGAGAAGCTGCTTCCAGAAATAGCTGTGAACATCAGCAGCGTGCGAGTCCAGAGTGCTCAGCCACACTCTCCATGACCTTAATCACTCTGTGCACTTTATTTAATAATCACCATCGTATATGCACAGGTGGGAACGCTGTCCCATCCTGTGAGAGTGAAGATTGGTATCAGACAATTTCCCCGGGGGGGGGGGGGGGTCACACATTTTTCCCACCCCCCAGGAGCAGTGGTATGCCAGCCATGGCATTCGAATGTTACTGTACATATAGTGTACATAAGGTGAACTGAAGGGCCAATCAGATATAGAAAGTACACAGGACATAAGTAAATGAAATTATGCTTTTGGGTCCCCGGCCCCCCCCCCCCCCCCCTCACTGCATTGCCAGTCCCTGAACCGCATTGGCACTTCGCTCATGTTGCCCACAGCTCCCCCCCAGCATTAGCACTCCCCCCCCCAAATTGGTGCTCCCCCCGTTTCAGGCTTGCGATAACCACCCCGAAAATGACTCTGCTCCTTCAGCAAAAGACTGCGGTGTCAAGGCGAGGGGAAGCGTAATGTGGCATTAGTCTGCAGGGACCGTGCACAAAGAAACTCTTCTTTTTAATCATCTGTATCAAAGCAGACAAGACGATGCAGAAGTGGAGCTTCCTGACTCCTGGGACGGACGAGCGCGTTTCAGTGCTCCTTCCGGGCTCCGACAGGCCCGCCGAGAGACGAGGTGATTTGTCATTCTGCTAATTAAGCGCCCACTCGCGAAGCCGCTCCCTCTGTGCGGGTTTACCCCATTCGGCCTCAAAACTGTAGTCGCCCCCCTTCCCAGTGCCTGAGCTAAGTGGAGGTCTGGGGCTGTTCTGGGGCTGTTTTGCTTAGCCCTTTGGTTTTCCAAAGAGGGGCGAAAAATTGCAGTTTATCCTTGGTCCCTTATTGGCGCGGCTCAGCATGCATGTGGGTCCTGCCCGCCCTGGGGAAGGCAAGTCAGTGTGACCAAAGTGTCAAACAAAACAATTGGTAAACGGGGTTCGGTGAATCATAAACGGCACCACCAGGGAAGCACTCAGGCGGCGGGAAATAAACTGGCATTTTTTTTGTGTTTTTTGAGTAGGCCTTTTAGATGGTGCTAGTACTTAAATTACGAGAATATATTTTGGCTACCTGCTTATTTAGTGCATATGCTATCAAAATGCAGGGCTGGCCTGTCTTGAATTTTCTGGATGGGAGAGCTCCCTCTTGTGTTGTGAGGCTGCCATTACCACCGCATGCAACGGCGGCACCGGCTAGCAGCAGGCCAGTTGTTGTTGATTATGCCGATTAGCTTCTCGCTAACTAGGAGCGGCCTCGAAACAACATGGCAGCTTCCCAAACTCTGAGCTGGAGCCTGAGAGGGTGCCCACTGGCTAACTGCCGGCTTCTAAGCGAGACCCCTGGCTACGTCAGTGCTCCGTTTCCTGCACAGTAATTACCCACCGCGTTGCCAGTGAGTGCCGCACGGTTTCTCTGGGTCGTCTCTCCTCTATACCTCTGCCTGCTTCACTGTTCATCCCTTCTTCCGCAGCAGCACCTAAATATTGGCAAACTGTCTGGCTTCTTCCAAGAAAAACATCTGCCCCGATTTGTTCAATTAAAATTCATTTGCAACTGTACATTTCCAAGCGTCAGCAGATTGTCGTTTTCTGTTTGGCCCATTTGAAGCGTGTGTGAAACACCAGTAAAATCCCAATATTTGTAATGTAAGCTGTTTTTTTTTTTTTCTTCATTTCTTTTTCCCCTGTTAGTTACCATATTCACATTCTGCACTGAAGCACCAGCAAAGGTCACCTCTGCCTGTTAGCTGGTTTCGTTTGGTTCCCCCGTGCTGCTGCTGTTGGCTTTGAGAGTTGTTTGGAAATGCGATAGAGAATCTACCCTGATTGGGAGGGAGACTCACAGCCGGGGTGGGGGGTGTTACCGCGGCCAGACACACACGCCATGATGATTGTTAAGCTGCCGGCAAACGTTACTTATAAGCAGAGGGGTTTAACGGTTAAGGATATGTAAAAGGACTTTACATAACATAATCAAGAGAAATGCAGGTCCTTTGTGGCACATTCTTGATTTTGGGGCCGTATTAAATGGTATCAGGCCTGGGCGGCAGTTAAAAAAATCACATCGCAGCCCAAGAAGTGGAGCGCAGGCCGCGGTCTTTGGCATGCTGAGAAGAAGAAATCGGAGACGCGGGATGGTGAGAAGGGAAGGCGCGGGACCCTTTGCCAGGCTGTTCTTCATTACCTCCCTGCACAAAGGGCTTCCCTTAACAATCTCCCTGCACAGACACCGCATCGTGCTGGACTCCGATGAGGTTCGATACGGAGGTCACGGCCGCCTGGATCACAATACCGAGTTCTTCACGGAGCCCATCCCATTCAACGGACGCTCCCACTCCATGCTGGTGAGTCCGGAGGTGAAACGTCTTTCTGTGCTCTTGTTTAGCCTGCCAGCCTCACACAATGGCTTCAGCGTTGTCCCTTCATTGCCCTCAGATGGTATTCTGGCTCACTGGGGACTTCAGGTCATCACATGACCTGTCGGGAGCCAATGAGGTTATAGCTAGGCCTCCGATTATACATCGCCTTTATTTCAAACTCTTTTTATTCTGAACTTAATTTTAGCATTCACAGTACACTTCAGCTCTATTCCCCTATTCAGGCTCCAACAGCAATTTTAAATGGTTAAAAGAAAAATCAGTAAAGAACAAATCGGTGGAAGAACAAATAAGGTGTATAAGATTATTCTCTGCTCTGTTGGCTGCCAAAATGAGTGTTGGGTAGAGGCCCTGAGGAATGTCCTTATCTACAGCACAGCTCTGGGACACAGTCACGCAGTTCAGGCTTTTGAAAAATAATTTAGGGAAGCTTCACCAGTCAGATAAATAGTCACAGTTCAAGGCAGCTCATCAAGCCTATTTGACCCCTGTAACCTATGACATCTACAACCAATAAGTAGTTTCATTATTTTTCTTTTAGTGACTTTAGATTGTAGCCCTTATTCACAGACGAGTGGAACTGACCACATGAAAAGATAGCATGTCATTTTTCTAAAGTAACTGAGACACAAAATGACAGGCTTATCTGTCTATCTATCCATCCATCCATCTATCCATCCATCCATCTGTCTATCTACTCAAAGAACTATGGCAATTATTATATCAGATATCTGAGTTTTTTTTTCCTTTCTATTTTTATGTCTGTATTCAGCATTTTTGATTCCCACCCACACCCCCCCACACCCACATCTCCCCATCCCCTATCCCCCCCTACGCCCCCCCTCCTCCCCCTCTCAGC